ATTTTTCATAACATATACAGTACGGAGTATTCAACAATATTGCGGAAGCGAATTTAATTTTGACATATCATAAATCATTTCAAACTTGTCACATCCATCCCGACAATCTCGCCCCATCTGCTGTCAGGATCACAGTGTTCTTTCTGTTGTACCTGCGTGTAGCAAATAAAACACACTACACGCTCAGCGGTAAAGCTGAGTAAGCATATCTAATGCGTCGAACATCCATATAAACTGAATCTAAATTCATAATCAAATCATTTGATATCATGCACACAATGTTCATTTAAGACATTCACAGTTTTGGTATTGTTCAGTTCATATCAACACATTTTATTCAATTCAGATACTATTTCAATAGTGCTCTTAAATTATTCTTAATCTAAGGCCAGATCATAACAACGCTCTTAGCTATTCTTAGTCTAAGGCCAGATCATAACAACGCTCTTAGCTATTCTTAGTCTAAGGCCAAATCATAATAATGCTCTTAGCTATTCTTAGTCTAAGGCCAAATCATAATTTCCATAATCACATTCTTAAAAGGCAATTATTAATCAGAGGCTTAAACTATCATTAGTTTAAGGCAATTGATTTCGGACACTTAACTGTAGTCAGTTAAGGTAATCAGGCACTTAAACTATCATTAGTTTAAGGCAAATGATTTCGGACACTTAACTGTAGTCAGTTAAGGCAACAACAATATATCGATTGGTCAACAATGGATCGGGCATTCCCAACAAGTAATCCTCCAGTTTGGTCTACGAATCCCGTTTATGAATTTATATCTAATTCATCTACTATTCATGTTTTCATAAGTTCATTCTAAGATCTATTCTAGAGGTCTTCTAGATAGTCTTAACATTAATTAGCTAATAGGTATATCTTAAAGTTCTTCTAGATATCCTTAACAACATTATTCATCAATTCATACTCTTAGTTCAACAATCATTTCATCCAGAATATTCATCATCATTAATCCATAATATTCATAAAAATGAATAATCAATCAATCATCATAATAACTAATAACAATCAGCGGCCTAGCATCGAGTGTTAACACCCTAGCCTACCGTCATGCATCACATAAGATCCCTTTTAGTTGTTAAAATAGCATCTTTATTCCAAGAAATCATTCTTTTATTAATCATAATGGTTGGTATCAAAAAATAGGATTCCATAACTCAAAAATCATATTTTCTAAATAACAATTGATTAATATATGATAGGAAATTCAATTATTACCTATTAGCTTCATTTTCTTCAATAGTGTAGGGTGACAGTCTACTGACACTTCTGATAATCTATTGTCTGATGTTCAGATACCCGACTATTAGCTAATAGTGTGAGACTATTAGCTAATAGTTTGAAGTCTCTCCCGACTGTCAGCTAATAGTGTAAGACTATTAGCTGACAACGAGTCGAAACAATGTTTTTAGACGTCTTGCTACTTATTAGCTAAAAGTTCAACTATTAGCTAATAGGTAGCAGAAGATGGAGCTCGGTTCTTGCGGAAATGTCATTTTTTCTCACCAAACTTCAATTAATGTATATAAAAGTGTTCTCCAAGGTTCATAGATCATTTTGGCATCACTAATTCATAGTTTTAACATCAAAATTATGGTTTATGATTCTTAGTTCTTCAAGTATGTCAAACACAAAACTCAACCAAATGACCATCTATGAACGTAGAATCGATCTATATGAACATTCTAGTCATTAGATATATTTACGGGCTTACCTCGAAGCTTAATGGAGGTTTTGGAAATTTTCCGGCGAAACTTCCGGCGAGTATTTCTCCCAACTCCAGCGATTTCACACCAAATTGACAGCACCACAACACTTCTCACACTTTCATGAACACTTAGAAAGAAGAATGAAGAAGAATGGTGAAGAAATGAGAAGGTTGGGTTCTCTTATATAATGAGAAGGAGAGAAGAAGAAAACAACTATGGTGACTCCACAATTCTGCGATCGGCGTAGTGGGGAAGGAGGCGCCGTCTAAACAGTTCCCTGATTGGGACCTATTTTGGTTCCAGTCTGGGTACACTTTTTGGTCCAATTTTCTCAAAATTGAAATCTGTTTGCACTGTTGCGATCAGACAGTCGAGCTCTATCCAACGATATACTTTTCATAATTATTTGTAATACTTTTTCCGACATCATATTTTTGGGTGGTTGACTTTGACAGAGTCAAAATTGATTTGTTTGACCTTTACTATAAAAGGTGTTATATTCAATTCATATTATTTACTCTCATGATTTATTTCAATATACCATTTCAATGTTCATATCATAATTAATTTCTTCATTTATTCTTGATTTGGGTCTGTACATAGGTTCCCCAATCAAGACCACACAAATAGTCAATAAATTGGACTTATCTCTATGAGATTTATCCTGATTATGATATGGGATATCAAAACATATTTTCATCGGCCCAAAGCCCATAACAATTTATTTTAATCAAAACAAATTTGATTTATTTTAATAATTATCTATTAATAATTCTAAGGTATGTTTTGGGGCGTTACAAGGCCCGGGTTATGGTTTGGGTAAGGTGAGTTCCAGGCGTTGGATCCGTCGGGATAAGGTCGTTGCCTCGAGCTGCTTTGTCATCCACGACCTCTACCCCGAGAGCCGTTGCCTCGCCCGCCGCCACGTCCATAGCCGTTGCTCTGTCCGAAGGAGCCGCCCTCACCATAGCTGCCGCCGTGCTGAAACCCGCCGCCATGGAAGCTGCCTCCGCTGCTGCCGCCGTGCTGAGCCCCCCCCGCTGCCGCCGCTGGATTGCTGCCGCCCGCCGCTGTTAGCACCATGCCGACCGGCAAGCAGTGCCGTGCTGCCAGCGTCGGTCATGGGAGATCGTTGCCGGTCCAATAACATGAGAGCGGAGCGGGCTTGGAGAAAAGTGGGAAGTGGATCCTGAAATTGAAGAAAAGATGTTTGGGCCTGTAGATCCTCGGGGAGACCACGAAGCATCTGAAGGACAAGTTGGTGTTGGGACACCGGGGCATCAACATCGTCTAGCCAATCGGCAAGATTTTGCAGGTGTTGACAATAGGCCACCATGGTGGTGTTGCCTTTGACGGTGGTGCGGAACTCGTGTTCTAGTTGCATGGCACGAGCATTTTTGTTGTCGTGAAACAAATCGCGAATAACCTTCCAGAGAGCAGAAGCGGTGGAGACAGAGGAGATAACCAGATCGGAGACCTCGTCAGAGATGGTGGACAGAATCCATCCCTGGAGGAGAGCATCAAGTTGGAGCCATTCATCATCGTCTTCAGAGAGAGGGACGACGGAGCCGTTGATGTAGCCCTGGAGATTGAATCGGCTTACCAGGAGGAGAAAGAGGCGACTCCACTTCTTGTAGTTCAGTTGAGAGAGGCTGAGAAGAACCGGAACATGGAGTTTGACGTTGGAAACCGTCGTGAAAGCAAGATGAGGAGGCTTGGCCGGGGTGGCGTTGGTGTTGGAGGTGATCTCGCTGTCGGCCATTGGGGAGAGGAGAGCCGGCGACGAGAGGGAGAGGCGGCGCTGCTGCCGCTGGAACTGCCGAGAGGTAGGGTTAGGGTTTGTGAGGTTTTTTTTGTTTGTTTAATTAGGCTCCGATACCATGAAGAATAATGATTTTCATTGATTGAATATGATGTGGTTACATGTATATATATGAGAGGAGTCTCAATCCTAAACATGGTAGGAGAGACACAAGGAAGGAAACATATACAAATAAGGTAAGGGAATAATACAATATATTAAATATACACAATATATTTAACAATATGTCCTATATTTCCACATTCATAACAAGTAATTTGGTTAGTTTTACCTTTCTTTGGTGGAAATCTCCTTGATGATTCGCCTTTGTTCCATTTTATGAATTTCTTGTATCTTTTGAACAGGGTGAGTTCTTCATCGCTTTCTCCTTCGCTTTCCGATTTGTCATCAACCTTGAGAGCCGTGGTTTTCTTCACTATAGGTGCTTGTTCATCTTCCTTCATTTTTCTCAAGAGAAGTTCGTGATGAGGTTACGTTGAATATTTTGTTCATGTCTTGCACTGATTCTTTGGTCTTAATCTCACTTTTGGGATAAATTTTGTTAAGCTTACTCAAGTTGTTGATGATGAGGTTACGTTGAATCTTTTGTTCATCTCTTGCACTGATTCTCCGGTCTTCATTTGGAAGTTCTCATATTCCGATGTTCCTAAACCTATCTTGGTAGCTTTGGTGTCTTTGTCTCCCTCATGGGTGGCTACTAAGAGATCCCAAGCTTTCTTAGCGGATCTACAAGAGCTTACCCTAGAAAACTCATCTTGACCCAAGGCACAAAAAAGAACGTTTAATGCTTTGGCATTTAACAAGAGTTTCTTTTTGTCCACGGCCATGAGTTTTTCCATGGGTGTGGGAACTTGTGTTTCACCTATAGTGGTCATAGGAATAAACGGGCCATTATTAGTAACAATCCATTGTTAGAATAAAAGACCAACGCTAGAGGGGGGGTGAATAGCATTTGATCGTAGAAATCCCAGGAATAAAAAAATTAAAAAGGAGAAGTAAAGAGAAGAGTAAGAGGCACACCGAATTTACCCTGGTTCATCAAAACTTGTGGCTAATCCAGCCTCTTGAGAGACTCTCTCGAGCTACACTACTATCTCATTAAGCTTAACGGTGCTTAACAAACCCTTACAACTTGAGAATTTGAGTTACACGAACCTCAACGAGTCCTTCGAAGGAAACAGCCCTTCCTTCGAATCAAACAAGAGAAATACTTTCTCTCAACGTGTTTTAGAACACAAATATACTCAAGAACGAGACTCTCTTTAAGAGTAGATATTGAGTAAACTAAATACGCTCAAGAACAACTCAAACTTCACACGAATTGGCTCTAGAAAGCTATGGAAAATGATGTTTGAATGCAATGATAATATGAATATTGTGAAGTGAATTTATGATTTAAAGCAGACCCAAACACCCCTTTTTATAATTCCAAAATAGGCTCCAATGGATCATGGCATTAAAAGGGTGATTGGCTTGATTTATGGGATTGATTAAAATGTGGATCTGCATGATATTGGCTTTCCCAGTGATGTATGGACTGACCCATCGCTGATAAGCCAATTTTCCTTCAGATTTGAAGCCAACGGTCACCTACCCATTGATGGGTACATGCTTCCCATCACTGGATGGGAGGTTGACTTTCAAACAAGGAAAGAATCAACCTTAAATTACTTACAAAAGTCATGCCTAACTAGCGATGGGTATGCCCTCCCATCGCTGGGTTCCCATCGATGGGTTAAAGTCCCCATCGCTGGGTAAGGTCATTCTGCCTTGTGTTATTGTTGGACCAAAGCTTTAACAGCGATGGGTAGAATTTCCCATCGTTGTTTGGCATGGTTCTGGAAATCGGTTGGGCTAAAGGTTCACTTACCCATCGATGTGTAATTCTTCCTATCGCTGGGTGGATGGTTAGTCAAAAAGCCATGGTTTTTGCCTGAACCATGGCCTAGCCAATCGATGCAAAAACTGACCAAAAAATCCAAAGTCCTCCGAAGTAAAAACCAATTGTTTAAAACACTTATTTCATGTATTTGGCTAAGAAATCAAGTGAGACACTTTAAAAACCACGTCATTTGAGTAAAAACCACGGCTAGCCAAGTTCATGTCGTTTTGTGTGGTTTTTGCCAAACGACCAAAAACAAAAGGTGGTTTTCAAGGTGTTTTTCTTGGAGAACTTTTTAAACATTACAAGAAGTGAAAACCAATCATAAAATGTTGAAAACCACTTGGTTGGTTCAAATGCCAAAAACCAACGCCGATAACCGAATGCCAACACCGGTTTCTGAAAGCCGAATGCCGGTTTCTGAAAGCCGAACGCCGGATGGCATGGTTTTTGGTTTGGGCGAACACCAAGTGTTTTTAATGTTTTAAACATGTTTGAAAAACATTTTTATGATATGAGAAATGCAATAAAAGATTTTAGCCTAAAGAGCCAAGGCGTGAAGGTTGGGTCGGTCTTGATCACAATTATGACCGACTCAACGATACTAAAGACTATGGTCTTCGTTCTCGGTCTCTTTTAGCTCTTGCTCTCTTTCTTCTCACCTTTGGTTTTCTCCTTGTATATTTAATGACTTGTCTCGTTCACGGGGGTTTGGCATTATCAAAACCTGTCATAAAAACGAACACGACTTTAGTACGAAAGCGTGATAAATCCGTGTTTCAACATCCATAAATCAAAATCGATGGATTGAATGAAGTTCTCCATTCGCATTTTCCAATAATTGTAGTTATCACCATTGAAGAATGGTGGCTTGGTGATGCTCTGGGAATTCATGGAGTTCATGTGTCGTGTAAGTGGTTTTCAAAAAGTGATTTTGAAATAGAGAAAATCCTGCTCCGATACCAATTGAAAGTTTGTTTACAGCCTAGGAGGGCAGTGAATTAGGGTGTTTGAAAGTTTTTCATAAAAACAAAAACTTAGGCGCAAAGTAGTGGCGGAAAAGGAGCAAGAAAAATATAAAAGAGAGAAGTATGACACAATCGATTTTATACTAGTTCGAGAACTCCCTACTCTAGTACCTCGAGGCTCCTCCTCAAGGATTTAACCTCCACTAACTTGTTTGGCTTCATTAAGAAGATACAAACGAGTTTTGGCAAACAACCCTTGCCAATAAGCAACAAGATTTTATATTGGTTATCTTGAACGTTTACAACCGAAGATTTAGAGGCTATCTTCAACCTTACAAAGTGGTTTTAAAGGCTATCCAAACCTTTTACAAAATAATGAAAAGAGTTTGTTGCTTCTGTAAGTTCGTGGGGGCGCAGCGGATAACACCAAACACAAGCTATGCAAACAAAACAATCAACTATGTTGTAGAGAAGATGCTGCAGCACTGTCACAGTAACAGATGACTGACAGAGTGCTATAACACCTTCTCTATCATAAGCACACACGTAGAATATAAAGTAAAAACAACAAGCAAGAAACCAGAATTGTTCACGCAGTTCGGAGCAAATTCTCCTACGTCTGCAAGGCCCACGTCCGTGTAATAGCCCTTCCACTAAATCACCGTAAGAATTACACAATCAATCACAACAGAACCTTCTAATGTATTGATTTGTCTACTTACGAATGACTTGACAACAAAATCGGTTTGCGTCTATCTCCACGGCTTATTACACCTTCTCAAAGATCTTCTTCAAGGACGTAGATTCCAATACACCTTCAAATAAAGATTCTCCTTGATCTATAAAACTATGCAGGCTGTTCTGAAGCTCATAACTCGAGATTGAACCGTTGAAATTCGATCTCCACCGTTTAGATTGAAGCTCCACGAGTCCTTAGACTCCTAAAATTTCAGAACGATCAGACAAGATTTGGTACTCCGATCGTCCACAAAATCAGAGCTGCGTTCTGTGCAAAAAATCAGCGGCAATATGCAGATTGTAACTTCGATAGCAGAAGATCCGTACCTCCGATGGACGTGAAAGTTTAACACCTTGAAGCCCTAGGTGTTTGAAACACTCTCTGAAAATTTCAGCAAAATCCAACGGTCGGATCTTCGGCGATGAGCAAATCAGTGCGGGCTGTCCAGAAAATTTTCAGTCTCAAAATCCGCACCTTGTTTTTCTTTTGATCGGATTTGCTTCAGGTTTTTCTTAGTTTTGCATGTCCAAAACCCTAAGGGAGGGTGAAGATAATATATAGAGCATATGAACCTTGTTAGAGTGTGCTTATGAGTCTCACCCATGCCTTCCTCCTCAAGAATAGTAAACCAAGTAGGATTAGACTTCTTTCTTCAAGCTCTTTTCTCTTTCTCTTTCTTCACATGCTAGAACTCTAAGTCTAAATAAAATATCTAAAATAATTCTAGGTAAATCTATTCATTTGTCAAAAAATAATGCCAACACAATATGGAACTAACAACTTCTCTACCAAAGTAATATATAATGTGATTGGGTAGGAGAAGAACAAATTATCAAAACAACAACAATTGCCTATAAGCAAGATAAGAAGATGAAACACAAAAGCCCTTGGTGTGTGTGTGTGTTGAAAATATAAATATCAAAGCTTTAAACTCAAAAGAGAAGAAAAAATTAGGAACTTTAAAGCTTGGAACACACAAATGATCAAGAATGAGATTATAGAATGTAATGTATGTTGAAGGGTGTTGTTGTGTATTTAGAAGAGGTTTAGGAGGTGTATTTATAGTGTTTAGGAAGTTTAAAATGGGTTTGAACTGTTAAAGAGACGTTGGGAGACAAATTAGGTTGATTGAGATTAATTAAACCAATCAAGAACAGTAACCCAACAGCTCCGGTACCTGTAACGGTAGTCAGGTACCGTAACGGTAGGGGGTACCATCACTGACGGTGTAGGGTACCGTGAAAGGTCCCATTTGTAGGTTTAAACTTGAGTTTCCTAAGCCTCAGGTGGTACCTAGGTACCGTTATAACGGTAGGGGTTACCGCCACAGCTCATTATGGGCTGAGCTAGATTTGAAACGATTGGTACCTACCAAGGTCTACGGTAGGGGTCCTGCCATAGTTCATTCCGAGCTAAGCGAAGGTCCTAACGGTCGGTACCTACCTAGGGTTACGGTAGGGGGTATTGTCTGAGTCCCTTTCATACTTAGCCAAATTTGGCTAGGCGGTACCTACTTGCTGTACCGATAAGTCTAACGGCAGCTAGGTACCGTTTGCACGGTATGTGGTACTGTTTGGTCTAGTTCTAAACCAAAATTGATTTCATTCCCGATTTTGAAAAATGACCCAATCAAAGCAATATTTAGAACCTTTTGGAAAATGTTTTTATGTGCAAGGGCATAAGTGTAACATCATTTTATCAAGCTCTTACATTTTTCAAATATAAACTCGGGTGAATCAATTCTTGGTGAAATCAACCAAGTTAGGAGAGGTTCGGGTGTCTCATTTAATCCTGCAAAAGGTTAGTACTTGGAAGAATTATTTGGCACATCAAAAAGTGGTGAGTTTCGGCATCCAAGGCCAACATAGAATGCTATTCAGAATGTACCCAGATGTGTTTTGAAAATTACTACCTCCATCCTAGAGTATTTGTCCACATTCATTTTTACACACAATCCAATACGCTTCTTTAATCCATTTTATATTGTAATTTGTAAATTAAAAAATTATAGAAATTATATATTAATAATCTATAAGTTAAGAGAAATCAAACAAGATCACACATGACTATATTTAGGCTTACACATTGAGAGAATTTGATGAGTCAAAGTGCTTAGATGAACAGTTCCAAAAGTCAAAAGTGGACGAATATAGAGGGACGGAGGGAGTATGTTTTATCCTAAAAGAGAAAACACCTTTAAGAGACACAAGGTATATTTATGTTAAAGAAATGCTTGCAACTTTTTTGCTAGTTGTCGGTCCAAACAATCGTTATAGTGAACCTAAAATGATATTTCAATGATCACACTTCTCTATTAGTAAAAGTTTCAACAGTGTTGAAGGATTTGAATACAATAGCACCAGATTTTATGGCTAAACCAGAGTCCGTACCATACATCATCAGAGAGAGCACAAGGTTTTATCCTTACTTTAAGGTAAGTTATGAAAATTAACACAGACATTAGACCATCTTAATTATACACCAATAAATATACATTTTTTTGTAATTCATTTTTTCAGGATCGCGTTGGAGCGATAGACGACACCCATATTCCAGCAATGGTAGTTGGGCGTGAAGTGAGTAGTTATCGAAATCGTCATGAGACTATATCTCATAATGTCTTAGCTGTATGCAATTTTGATCTACAATTCATTTACGTGCTTAGTGGATGGGAGGGTTCTGCCCATGATTCAAAAGTTTTAAATGATGCGCTTTCTCGACCAAATGGGCTCAAAGTGCCATCAGGTATATATTTTTTCTTCTTAAGTTGAGTCTCTTATTATTGTAATTTATGCAACAAAAAAATGCATATTTATTAAATAATATTTTCATGAATAGGTAAATATTACTTGGGGGATTGTGGTTTTTCAAATCGTTTTCAGTTTTTAACACCGTTTCGAGGTAGTCGATACCGTCTTAAAGATTTTGGAGAAGAAGGAAATCACCCTACCAATGCACGGGAGTTGTTCAATCTTCGACATTCTTCCTTAAGAAATGTAATTGAGCGAGTATTTGGAGTATTCAAGTCACGATTCACAATATTCAAAATAGCACCACCATTTTCATACAGGACATAAGTAGAACTTGTTTTATCGTGTACGGGACTACACAATTTTCTTCGACATGAGTGTCGTTCAGATGAATTTCCTCCCGTTTCGGATGAAGACACAACAAATGAAATAGATGAGAGTTATGAATGGGATGATACTCAAACACAAGATCAACAGTGAGAGAGAGCTAACGAATAGCGATTGAATCTTGCAAATCAAATGTGGGCTACAACTAACTAGTATCACACCCGTGCGTTGCACGGGATATATTTAAGTTACTAAATTATATTAACATCATTTTGAATGTTACAAATTAGTATATAATGGAATATAGATATTTTATTTTTTTAAGTTACAAAAGTTAAATGATTTACAATATTTAAAAGACTACTTTATAATTCATATTACTCGTATAAATTTGTGAAAATACTGTCTTCGTTGTATATTAGAATTTTCAAGTAGTTATGATTTATTACTCTTGAAACTACAACATACATTTGTCTATGACTAAAATATAAATAACATTAATCAAAACTCCGATTAAAAAATTTGTTCAGAATTAATTGTGTTTTTTTTTTCATTTTGTCAAATTGCTAATAAAGTGGAGATCTATATACTCCATAAAAACAAAGGACCATTTATAAAAAGAAACTAAATTGCTTTGCAGTGATTCATTTTTAAGGAAAGCAATACTTGTATTGTCTCTATTTTATGTCTTTTTTGTATGGATTTTACTCCATTTTATTAACAATGTAATACCGGGTAACAGTTTTTGCCATTAATGGTAGTACAGGTAAATCACACAGTATTAACAAATTACAATTATGGTAATTCCCAATTTCACAAGTGGTAATTTGTAGTTTAATAATATAACGTTTTGTAAGTAATACCGTGTAACATTTTAACAAATTGCAATTGCAATTATGGTAAGTCCCATTTGTTAATACCGTGTAACATTAAATGACATTTGTTAATGTAACCAAAATTACCATTTGTTAATACCGTGTAATATTAATTGTCATTTGTTAATCACCCAACAATTACCATTTCTTAATATCGTGTAATGTTAATTGCCATTTGTTAATACCGTGTAACATTAATTGACATTTGTTAATGTATGTAATAAAAATTACCATTTGTAAATACCGTGTAATATTAATTCCATTTGTTAAAATTTCCTTTTTTGCGAATCTGGATTTAAAATTGTTTACCTTTCTTTTTTAATTATTTCCAATTATATTAATCACGTTTAGTATTAAAACTTACCAAAAAAAGAAATACCGTGTAATATTAATTGCCAAAAAAAGAAATACCGTGTAATATCAACTTACCATTTCCTTTTTAATTATTTCCATATTCTATTAATCACGTTTATTATTATTATTATTATTATTATTATTATTATTATTATTATTATTATTATTATTTCTTAAAATTTCCTATTTTGCAAATCTGAACTTATAGTTGTATAACTTTCTTTTTAAATTATTTCCAATTATATTAATCACATTTAGTATTTTAACTTACCAAAACAAATAAATACCGTGTAATATTATTTGTTAAAAAAGAAATATCGTGTAATATTAACTTACCATTAATTGCCTTATTATTTATTATGGTTAGTACGGGTGTAATATTAATTGCCATTAATTACCTTATTATTTATTATGCTTAGTACGGGTGTAATATTAATTGCCATTAATTTCCATAATTAGGTTGGTGGAGGCCATTTTAACATAAATATTTAATATGTAAAGTAATTATTTAATGTAATTGAGTCATTACCATTTTAAGTGAACAATTGCCATTTTTAATGCACAAACGCATGGGCGGAAAAACCATTTTTGAATCCATGTCTTTTTAAATAAAGTATGGATAGTGAAAATAGTTAATTTGTTACTTTAATTGTTTTACAATTAGATTTGTTTTCATTTTTTGTTGCAACATTTGATTGAGATGATGAATTTTATACAATGCAATGTTTTCAATCTATTTTATTAGCATGCTTACTTTTCCCCCGTGTGCGGGGTCAAATTTTATTTTTAAATTCAAATTTGATAAATTTTGGTCATGAATTAAATTAAAATTAAATTATGAATTAGTATTAAAAATAATACAATTAGAATTATCTTGTAAAAAATTTTAAAAAAATTAATCTAGTTTATTTTATATAAAATAATATATATATAATGCTTATTTGGATAATATAAAATTTATTTTGTTACTAATATAAAAATATAATATTTATTTAATTGAAAACTAATCTTATTTGAGTGCAAAAAATAACGCTAGACGGACATACTTGGATGGTGGAAGTGAAACCTATAAAATTATTCAAATAAAAGTCCAAAGAAATTATTTATATAAAATCAACGACTTTTAAAATATAAATAGAAGTCTATGACTTTCAACACAAGTCCATTGACATGAATAGAAGTCATAGATTTTAAAAATATGAATACAATTCCTTATACAATACACCCCCCTTAGATGAGCGTTGCTAAATCTACTCTCACTTTTGCTAAATCCACATCATTTATAATGAACCAACAATTTTGCCCTTTTATACGAAAGAAGAACCTTAGATGTAATAACCCATCATTTAAGAAAAAAATTGTCCATTTAAACTTTGTTTAGTATATAAAATTCAAGTCATAAAATCTGAATTGGGAATTACAATTCTAATTCTAGTATTTAGTAGCACAAAAATATGTGAATTTGGAATTCGTAGGACAAAAAATGAATTGGATTTGAACAATTTAATTCCATCGAATTCAATTCCATAAAATTTAAATTCCAATAAAATTCTTTTTCTCTCAATTTTGTGTACCAAACCAACCTTAAGTATTTTCTTTTGAACACTATTAAGTTCATTATAATATAGTATCTGTTCATACAATATCAACTTATTAAAGGCGGTAGGGTTATATTTCGCAACTTATTTAGTAAAATTTGCATTGAATATGACTAAAACATAAGTCATTTCCCAATGTAGGACTTAAACCTTTTTATTTCCGGACTTAATAATGACTAGTGAGAAGAATAATGTTCAGTTAATGCTAGACATTTAGTTGAATAATGTCTAATATATAATGACCAATGGTCCTATATTGGAAAATAAAAATATATGATCCTATATTGAGAAAGTCATTATGTTTTAGTCCTATTTAAGTAAATTACTCACTTATTAAAGCCCTTAGTATAAAAAAGATAGATTTAGTAAAAAAAGGGAGTAAATTTAGCAGCACCTAGTTGGACCGTTGCAATTCTATTTCGTTTGGCCCAAAAGCAAATCTGTGGTCAAGAGAATTATAAAATACGGTCCAATAGCCCATAGTTGATAATCCCGATTTGCATTAAACCCTACAGACCCAGTGTGAGACATCATCACATTTCATTCGGCCGCAGCAGCTCCGAATCCATCACAGCCGCCGGCTTCGTTCAGGTTTTATCTCCTCCATCCCTCCGTTCTGCGTGGTGTGAGTGTGTGTGTAAATGCATTAATCCATCTTTAGAATCGTTCGCAGGTGAGAAGAGTTGAGATGAGCAGGGGGAGCACCGGCGTCGTCAAGGGAGGGAAGAAGAAGGGGGTGACGTTCGTCATCGACTGCTCCAAGCCGGTGGAAGACAAAATCATGGACATTGCTTCGCTGGAGAAATTTCTCCAGGAGCGCATCAAAGTCGGCGGCAAGGCTGGAGCCCTCGGCGACTCCGTTACCGTCACACGTGAGAAGACCAAGATCACCGTCACTTCCGACTCCAATTTCTCCAAGAGGTACATTCAATTTTCTCTCTGTATTGAGTTCTAAGATTGGGGCTTTTAGGTTTATCAATTGAGTAAACAGGTAATTAGCGTAGTTCTTCCATTCTTTTTGGACAAGTTACTATTTCAGGATGCAATTAGGGTTATTGGCTTGTTTTATACAGAATATTATATTCATTGCAAGATGTATTGTGAGAAATGCCGTATTAGCTTTTAAAGAATCTCTCATTATGCGAGACTTTGATTTGGTATATTTTCAAAGTTTTCCTCAATATGATTCTTTTATTAGGTGAAAAGATATTATTTTATGGCCCCATACTTGAACACCTAATGATCTGAGTGGATGTGTAGAAATGAGATAAAAACTGCAATTCCTATGTCTAAGCCTCAAATGTGTAAAGCCTAACTCAAGAAGTACACAACCATAAAATTTACTGTTAAGCAATCTATGCATTTCTGCATTTACTATAAAATTTATTGAAAGTAAGAAGCCCATACAGGCACATTACTTACATGTGCCATTTTAAATTTGTCCATTAGTTTTCTGAAGTCTGAAGCTAAAACATTGTCATTAATTACTATTTTCACACCATGGAAAATTTAAACTGTTCAGACATACAGCATGATTTATGTTTGCAATGTTTTTTTGATTTCTGGAATTGTAAAGCACCCAAATGTTTCTATGACTCTCTGATTTTAATATTGTGTTTATAGTAATTTCTGAAATAAAAGAATTATCTTGGGTGTGCCCCTGTTTCCCAATGTGTTATATTGGTTGACTTGTACAAGGTCCTGCTTTTTCACCTGTCTTTATTTACCAATGGATTCTGTGCACTTACAGGTATTTGAAGTACTTGACCAAGAAGTACCTAAAGAAGAACAGTGTTCGTGACTGGCTCCGTGTGATTTCTTCGAACAAGGATAAAAATGTCTATGAGTTGAGGTACTTCAACATTGCTGAAAATGAAACGGAAGATGAAGATTAACTGTGTCAATCAATACTTTTTGCCAGATGGTTTTAGTCCTTGTTGTTTTGAACGCTCTAAGATATTCTATTTGTATTACTTGTGTTTGAACATCTCCTATTCTATGATTAAGATATTTCACGTTTTACTTTTTGGCGTTAGCTTTTCCATTTCACTTTGTGAACTAATAATTTAAGTACAGAGATCATTTTTTCCCTCTTGAGCACCCCCGACCCCCCCTAGGGAAAAATAACGTAATCTGCTCTCCCCTCTTGAGAAAGTTATTTTTTCACTTATAAACTATCTGGGGTGTCTCGCAGATAAGCATTGGCAGCGACACAATTTCAAACCATTTTATATGACAAATGGTATAGAATTAAAAAATAAAAATTACATATTAAAAAACTACATCAAAAGATCTACAAAACTAGTAGTGACGTTTTACTTTTTGGCGTTAGCTTTTCCATTTCACTTTGTGAACTAATAATTTAAGTACAGAGATCATTTTTTCCCTCTTGAGCACCCCCGACCCCCCCTAGGGAAAAATAACGTAATCTGCTCTCCCCTCTTGAGAGGTGTCGCTGCCAATGCTTATCTGCGAGACACCCCAGATATTGTTCAAAAGATCTACACAACTAGTAGTGACAACTGTACTTTATTTTATCATATTGCTAACGAAAATTGATAAAGAAAGTGAATGAAGTTTGACCCTGAGAAAAGTAAACATTCATTATAAATTGGGACGGAGGAGTACTCTGTAAGGTGTATTTGTATAAAAATAATTCTATTAGATTTATTTTGTTGTGAATTATCAAAGTTTTATTCCTTTGTACTTATATGTGATACAAATTTTGAGCAATTGAAGCTTAAAGTTTGTTGAGTTTGACTTAAAATGTCAAAATAGATAAATATATATATGTTATTTATTTGAGAGGTTGTATGGTGGAACTAAGGTCCACATGGACCTTCTCATGTTTTTTAATTTTAAAAATGGTTATTTCTCACATTTTTTTAAATTTTAAAAATGGTTATTTCAACAGTTGAAAATGTTTATTTAACATATATGAGGGTTTACCATTAACTTTAGATGTATCTAATAATTTGCCTACTTATTTTTGTTTTTATCTCAAACACAAAAATTTGAATTTTTATAAATTATAAAATTTAAAAGACTAAATTTCATTATTGGTCCTTTATAACAGGGGGTTTCCATATTTAGTCCTCTATTATCAAAATTATTCCTGTAGTCCTTTTATGGGTGCGTTTCCACAAAAGGTCTTTTTTAATCTTCTGTCATGTTGGTGTTAATTTAAAGACTAAAAGTATAATTTGACATCAACTTTATGTCCAATGACGTATTCTGATAATGGTTAGACGAGTAACACAAAAATAATGACTATGACTTTGAGCTAGGTGTTGGGTTAAGGAACCTGGGGCCTAGGAGACTAGGCGGAAGAGTATCGAACTGAGTCGAGAGTGCACAAGTTGGGAATCAAGTAAGTTCTAAGTATTATTGTGCTAGTGAGAACGTACTCCCCTCTCCTCCAGAAGGGGTTTATATGCGAATTACAGCAGAGGGTTCCCGACCGTTGGTCCGGAGTCCAAAGGTTCAGGCCCACTAAGATTTGGTTGTTCACTAGCGGCGCCTAACCACATCACTATCCCTAGGGCTGCTATACAAAATAGGTTACAAATAGAGTGGCTAGAACAACTCTGCCAGATATATGGCAGGGGTCCAATCGTGGGCCCCTTGATCTTGACTACATAGGCAGCTCCCATGTCTGGGTCTGGTGTGCTGGTGCTTTGGGCCGAGGCCGAGTGCGCATGATCTGCTCCCTGAAGTCCCTTGACGGAAGGCCGACCAAGGGTGGTCCGCGGACGACCGACCCTGCCGAGGCCGAGCGTGACCCGATGTAGAGGTGGCCTTCCTAGGGCATCAGATTCCTCCTGCCTTTGCTAAGCTAGGTGGGCCTTTGGGCCGGATACCCCCATTCCCGGGTATCCATCATGAGTCCCCTACTTCCTCGGCCGAGTGTATCGAGGTCGATGGAAGTAATCCAATAATGTTTGTGAATTTGTAATTTGAAAATCTTGGCCGTGTGTAGGAGTCCCCCACTGCCCAACTTGAATGTTAATGAAGGTCGGGGAGTGCTCCAGGTGGCAAGATTTACCCGTGTTGGTTTCGAAATTTGAAAATCATGATTGCATCGTTGGGGAAACACAACATTTTTGTACTGTTCTCTTGTCAGCCGTTTGTGACGATTCGTGATCGTACGCGTAAGAATGCGCCACGTCTTTTCGCAACCGTTGCCTTTGCTTGGATCGGGTCGGATCTCCTGTCGTATAAAAGTGGAGAATTTCCCCAATCTTCTCCACCTTTTGTCATTTCTACGCCACACATTCGCCGTTGATTTTTGCCGCCGCTCACGTTCAATTGCCGTTGCCGTCTCAATTTACACAGAAGGTTAGTCCATCCTTCTCCGTCTTCATGGGCTTTTCTGAGTCTACTCCCGCTATCGTCGTTGTTGACCCAGCGGAGGAAGCTTTTGAGGAGATGTACCGGCTGGATCCCTCCCTCCGTCCTGACGGTCCGGTGGGCGGATTTGGCCGTGCCCCGATTTTGAACGCGGTGCCTCTCCGTACGACGATCACCGTGCCTACCCGTCACCGCGCTAGAAACGGGTCCAATAACAAATACGGGTTGCCTACTGTAAGACATCGATTTTGACGAAGCCCTTCGCTTCGTGGGGGAGGGGTATGTCATACGTTGACTGCACGCGACCAACCACGTATTTTCAGTGACCTTCCCCGACGCTGAGGTGCGGGTGCACGTGTCGTCCATGCGCTACGGTCTCCGATTTCCTCCTCATGAGCTGATAGTTCAGTTTTTGAACTTCTACTGTCTTCTCTCGGGCCAGCTCACCCACACTCTTACTACTGCTTCTCGAGTTTTTTGATCAAGTGCCACTTGAAGGGAGTCCCCTGGTCACTAGATCTGTTTAGATATATGTTCAAAGTCTCTCGGATCGGCGCGCGCGAGGGGAATTCGTACGCCGTCATGTCTTCCCAGAACGAGTGCGGCATGGTCACCGTCCCCACGTCCCTCAAACTATGGAAGGCAAAATTTGTCTTCATCTCTGATTTTCTAGGGAACTGACACCCTTTCAAGGCCAGGTTCCCCGAGTGTCACTCCTTCATCCGCCATGCTCGTCCAGAGCCCACTACGGAGCTTCTCGCACACGCGCAGAAGCACTTAGAAGACTGCCGGCCCAAACCACCCCACGTGTACACGGTGCTCATGGAACAAAATCTCGGGAAGGTGGGAATCATTATCTCTCTCCAGCGGTAGTTCGAGTTGGCAGAGGCCGTGCGGGGGGCTCGCCCCAAGCACAATCTCGAAGGGACTGCCTCGGGTCCGATGATGGGAGAATCGAAAGAAATGGACGAGGACGAGGAAATTGAGGCCGATGAAGAGTCGGGATAGCCATCCTGCTCCGAGGATGCAGTTGATGCGGAGTCTTCTAAAGGTCCGTCCTTTGCCTTAGGATTTTCTCCTTTTTATTGATGCAAAATTTTAACCTGTGCTATATGTTGGTAGGAAACATGCACCTTCTCCACGTCGCGCGGAAGGCAAAGGCGATGGCCCAAAACCGAGGACGAGAAGAGGAGGCGCAACGCGGGCCGCCGTTTAGGGATACTTCCGGGTCCGTTACGGTTGTTCCCAACCGGGAAGTGGTTCCGACCCGGAACCAGAGGAAGAGGAAGATCCTCCAGGCCGAGGATGAGGAAGCCGCGTCTGAGCAGGACCTGATCATGGGTCAAAGTCCCCCAGCCAAACGTCAGACCATGCCCGAGGACGGGAAGTTCTCCGCTCTCATCGGAGAGAGTGGTGGGGACGCGAAAGCCGAGGCCGATGCCGCGTCCCTAACCGTGGTGCTGAAGGACGAGGGCGAAATCCTCTCGTCCTTGCGGGAGACCGTGGACGGGTTCCACCAAGCGATGCAGAAAACCGTCCAAGGGTTTCACAAAGAGGTGAGATTATTTGTACTTCTCCCCTTTACTACACACGACAGATGACTGACTTAGCTTCCATCAGGTGACGGCCAAACTGAGTCTTATCAGCGATCGCCGGGGTGGAGCTGAATTCTCTTCGGGGGTGAACTTCCTGGCCTCAGTGGAGACGGAGCTGTCCCGTCTAAGGAAGCTGGCGACTGCCAAGCATGAGCAGGTGGCCGACCTCGAGATGCAGGTCGTGGCGAAGTCGGAAGAAGTGGTCAAGCTGTAGGGCTTGCTGAAGGAATCGGAGAAGTCGGAAGAAATCGGTCGGTCACGTCGGGTTTGGGTTCGGTCACTTCAAGTTCGGGTTATTTCGGGTTCGGGTCAATTCGGGTTTGGGTTGAGAACTGTATGTTCATGACCCAGTATCATCGGGTTTGGGTCGACCCACCGGGTTATGACTTTGGTTTTTTAAATTTTTAAATTCACATTAACAATTACATTTTTTATTAAATAAATTTAAAATAACAAAAAAGTATTAAATCTATAAAATTATTTTATTTTAAACTCTAAAGTAGTTCTTAGATATATAAATCAATATAAGGAATTTAAAAATGCTTAAGTTTTGGAAAAAAGTAAGATAATTATGCAGTATCATTAAAACTTTGTCTGAAAATATAAATTTATACACTAAAAACGAGTAAAAAAAGTGTATAATTTTGAAAAATTCTTACTTTAGTGGGTCGGTCAGGTCGGGTTCGGTTTCGGTCGGGTTTGACCCATTTTTAGCGGGTCATTTCGGGTTCGGTCAACTTCGGGTTCGGTCATCAAAACCTTTGTTCAAAACCCAGTATTTTCAGGTCGGGTTTCGGGTCAAAAACAAGTCGGGTCACTTTTTTCCAGGTTTATCCATAGCCGAGCTTGAGAGCAAACTGCACCAATTTGAGGGCATGATAACCGAGATGGATATGGAGTTGGCCGAGGCCGTTTCCCTGCAACTCTCGGTCAAGGCAGAAAGGGATCGAGCCATCGCCGAAAAGGAGCAAGCCGTCGCCGAGAAGGAGCATGCCATCGCCGGCATCCTCCAGTCCCCAGCCTTCAAAAAAGCTTGCATGGACAAATTAGCTGAGTATTATGACAGCTGGATTGAGACTGAGGCTGGCATAAAGAAGCTTGGGAACGAGGGACCCAAATGGCTCGAGACCGGCGTCTACCATGGGATTCAGCTCGTCCTCCGGCGGACTCGAAGAGTGGACCCATCCTTTCCTTTGCCTGGGGTTGATATTCCGGATATGCACGATCCTGATTTGAATGGCGAGCTCGGCCCCAATCCAGATTATTTTAGGACACCCAACCGCGAGGATGAGGACGTTGGTGTCACCGGCGAAGAGCATCCCTCGGACACCCTTCCCTAGTGTTTTTCCTTTGTGATTTTTGATGCTTTCATCCCTTTGTACTGAATGAAGATTTTTCATTTACTGTTGTTGGGAAAAATATTATAGATTTTGATGATGATGTATTTAGAATGTAATAGGGACTTTAACAACAACTACTGGACTATGGAGTCAAGACAAAGGAAGTGACAATCTTTTGTGACAATCAAAGTGCTATAGCCATCTCACAAAATCCAGTGCATCATTCTCGCACTAAGCACATCGATGTCAAGCATCACTTCATCAGAGATCATGTGGAAAAGAAAGATATCAAAATTGAGTATATCTCAACTGAAGAACAACTGGCGGATATCGTCACAAAACCACTAAGTGAAGCCAAGTTTTCCGATTTGCTTCACAAAATTGGTCTAATTCAATTAGACTTAGTGCGGTACACGTGGCAGTTCATTTTCCACGTCTGACAAAATGGTGGGTGGGCACGTGGCCTTGGGAACAGTTAAAAACTCAATCGCCACTAGCCGAATAAATCGCCCAAATTAAACCCAATCGTCACTATAATCAGATCTCAACTACCCACTCAGCCCACTAAAACTTTTCATCGTCTTCTTCGCGAGAACCTTCTGATAAAATTCTCAAGAACCCTAATTTCTTCAGATCTTATCACTCAAGTTTCTGAGAAAATGAAGATTGTTGACGCTAATATCCATTTCCAGAAGTTGAAAGCCAAGTGCTCCTCACCAACGTTCTATCAATCCTATCTGGAGATGATTGCTGCTCAAGAGCTCTCCGAATTCCTTCATATGGAGATTCGATTCAAGTATGAGAACGAAGTTCTTGAATTCTACAAGAATGGAAAGGTCAAGACTGTCAAATCGAAGAAGGACCCACAGAGGACGATTCAAGTCATCAATTCCACTGTTGGAGGGACCAAAGTGAAGCTTTCGCAGAAGAAATTGGGAGAAAAGCTTCACCTTCCCAATTCTGGAGTTGAAATTGGGAGACTTCCAGCCAAGAATCTGGATTGGAATATTATTGGAATTTCTAGGCAAGCTCCCTCTGGCCCAGCGAAGAAAACTAATCTGAACAACGACTACAAGCTAGTCCTTGAACTGGTCATCGCATGCCTCGAGTGTGGAAGTGGAGGACATGCTGATGACATCACCCAAGAGAGGGCCTTCATCATCAATGCCCTCATTACCAAGTCTAAGGTAAATTGGGCTGCACATTTCTTCAATTCCATCTCAAAGCATCTGGGAAAACCCAACCAGAAATACCTTTGTCAAGGTCTGTACATTGGACATATCTTGGAGTCCTTGGGTGCTGCTTCTGAAGGAAAGAAGTATGAAGCCAGATATTGGCTATACTATCTGTCTTCCAAAGAGGAAAACAGAGCTGGTGCTAGCACAACTGCAATGGAAAGTTCTTCAGAAAATGTCCTTATCATGAGTCTGAACAAGTCAGTAAAGAGGAAGCAAGTGGTGTCTCCCTCTCCCAGTGCTGAAGCACCACAGAATCTTGCTCTGATCAATCTTGAAGAAGAAAAAGAAATCTCTGCCCAAGGAAAACTACAATGGAAAAAGAAGAGGAAAATCACCTCTCCCTCAACATCTGGATATGTCAATCCGGATGAGTTGAAGGAGAAGGAACCAGCTGAGGAAACCTCTGCCCACAACCAGAGTCCTCAACAACTTGAAGAAGAAATTCCTCAAGTTCAAAGCCTTCCAACCTCATCACCTCAACCTCAAATAGATGATGCTGATAACCAATTTTGGCAGCTCTACTATGATTGGAGAGCCTGGAAAGTTGGAAATTCAGCAGAGCAACTGTTGGATTGGGACCAACAACTGAAGAATGAGAAGATTATCAAGAAATGCCTAGGACTACCAGTCAACCATAGCTGTGAAGAAATCTTGGATGACTACTGGGTATGGAAAAGGAACCAAGAAGACCTGCATCTGGAACACTTGGATACCACACCAATTTCAGAATTTGAAGTGGATGATGAGGATCCTGCAGTCTACAAACCAGTCCTCTCAAAAACCACAGAAGACCAGGTGGTTCTCACTTCTGAAGCACAGGCTAACTTGGAAGCAACAGCTGAGGATTTCCAAATATTTCCGGAAACCTCATCTGCCTTTGAAACTGTTCTACCTGAAGCTGCAGTCTCTACTCCACAAAAACAGAACCAGGAAGGATCAAATGAAGAACTTCAGCAACATCTCTCGTCTCAAGATCTTGAGATTCTCACAAATACTTGTGAGATCTCCAACCAGTCTGAAACGGAGATCCTGGAAAAGTCAGCAGAAATTCCGGAGCAATCAACTTTTCCAGAAACAAATGAAGAGGAGCAAGCTGTAGAAGCCCAGAGAAGTTCTGCAGAAGCTGAGAAGGAAACTCAAATGGCAGAACTGGAGGCCACTAAATCTCCAGTAGCCATTTTTGAAGAACAGAATGAAGCTGAGGAAAGAGACTCCCTCTCTAGGGATATATCAAATTTTATACTTGAGGAAGTAGAAGAAGAATCTGAAAGGACTCTAAAGATCAATGATGAAGAGGAAGTGCAAGATGATACTGAATCTCTTCCTATGCAACTTTTCCAAAGAACACTCTCTTCTCATCAGGTAACCAACTTCCATTTCCATAGCTCTTCCATTCCTACTCTTCCGGATGAGGTACCGGAAACCTGGACAAAGAAGGTCCAAGGGTTGATTGAATCAGCCCTAGCATCTCAACATGCCTCCTTTAGGCAAGAGATAGAGCAGATGGAATCCAGGTACAACAAACTGATTGAGAAATCCGAAGAGACACACTGCTCTAATCTCAAGGAGATAAGCAAATTAGTGGATAAGACTCTAGAGATCATTTCTCTATTGAGTAACACTGTGAGCAACACGATGGAGACATATGCATCTGACAGTTATCTTCAACTCAAGGAGGTTAACAAAATCAGAGAGCAAATAGCAAATGTCACAGTTAGTCTACAAAAACAAATGTCCATTCTCCAAATGGACATCAGAGCAGCTCTGGCAGTGTCTTCAGCAAATCAAGTAGTAACCAAAGACTACTTGAAGGTAATCATTGACAATCAGAAGGAAGCACACAAATTATTCAGACTTCTTACCACAAATTCTGGAAATCGCAAGATGGAAGTGGTTCTTCAACAACACAGTCCATCCTTGATTCCAGAGCTCCCTACTGTAGTCAAAGAAGGAGAAGTCTCTTACATTCCTACGCATTTAAACTTGACTGATTTAATCCTTGAAGCTCAGAGAAGTAATCCGGAAAACTCAACACAGCGCCTATCCAGCTCAGGATTGGATGGAACAGAGGCTGTAGGAACAATTGCTTCTCACTTCTCAAATGATTACCAAACAGAGGAGAGACGCAACAACATAAGGCGCATCAAAGAACTATGTGGAAACATGCAAGGAATCAGGGAGATTGCCGGATCTTCAAAGCGCAAGAAGCACTGAAGGTTTTTTTCATCAAACCAGGGGGAAAGTATGTGAAAACATTAATTTGCTTTGATGAAAACACCTTCTTGTTTAAACATTGCTTTATTGGTTTAAACATTGCCTTAATATTTCTCTTAATTGTGCTTACTATGCTTGATTATACCTAATTCAAGTATGATTTTGAGATTTATTCCTAGCGCATACATTCAGGGGGAACTTAACTAGTTTTTTGCTAACAATTGTTTTTTGCAATGAATTATTGATAAGCTCTAAGCAATGGAAGACGGATATCTCAGTTTTGGTACTAAAATTGGAAATCTCCGATTCAGGTACTTTACAAAATCTGCCTTCTTAAACTAAGCTTCAATCCTTAATTCATTTCCAACAAGCTCTAAAAGTACTGGTCCTTAGGATTTTTAAAATGTACAGGACTTTGGAAAAATAGTACCACTTTTCTCTTAAAAATAAAATTCATATTTGTTTTGGTACTACCTCGTCCTAAGTAGAAATTAGAACTATAGGGAATGAAAAATGATAGTTTTATTTTGGGCCTTGAGAACCCAATAGGAATAATTTCCCTTTAGTACATAGCTTTCTTTTCTTTTTGGGCCACTCTTTTGGGTTTAGCCAAACTAAAACAGTTACGGTTCTCAAACCAAACGAAACTGATTTTCAAATTGGAACAGTTTCAATTCATTGGTAATTGGTAAAAGATTCCTTCCACTTTTCAACTTCTTGGAAGTTGAAACTCTTTTACTCTCACCGTTCCATCTACCCAATTAATGGAACCCGTGAACCTCCCCTCTCTCTACCTCCTCTCTTATTTAAATCAAGACATCTCAATCCATTCCTATCACAAACAACTCTTTCAATATGAAAAGTCTTCAAACTCACTGTTTGAGAAACACACCAAGAAAAATATCCTCAATGGAGAAACTTTTCTTTCTCACCCTCATAGACGGCAATGGAAAAAGCCTAATGAGAAGAAAAGACTTTCAAGGTCTATGGTGAGAATCTCGGCAGTAGAGAAGGTCTGTTGTGAAAATCTCGTATTTTTCAGGATTACACCATACACCTTCTCTAGAACAACACTCTCTCTATCTTTCTTCTTATTTTGAGAGATGTGTTGCTTCCAAGATCTTGAATATCCACTTTGGATATTAAAGATCTATCAAACGCAGCGCCAACCGCTCTGCCAAGCAAGTTCTGCTGAAGCTGAAAACGGTTAATGGTGGAAAATATCACAAAATCTCAAGACAAGACTTGGTTTAGGAATTATTGTAATTTGAATTCTATTTGTTTAAGAGTTTTTGTTAACAAGCTGTATATTATGAGAAACTAAAAGAAAGTTACAAAATTAGTTCTCAGTACAGCGACCGAAACTCTTAAACACTTCTTTGTCATCATCAAAAGGGGGAAATTGTTGGGAAAAATATTATAGATTTTGATGATGATGTATTTAGAATGTAATAGGGACTTTAGGTCTCCCCAGATATTCAATGTAATTTTTCCTTTTAGAAATATTGTTAAAACAAAGTTCTTGAGATTTCCAATAAAGTTGTGATATTTCTTTAAGCGGTTTGATGCCTGAAGACTTAATCAAATTCAGTAATTTGGAAATTGGATATCTTGATCGGAAATGTCAGAGACAAGTAAGGATTTCTCAAAGCAGACGAAAATCCTCCTATCCGGAAGACTACATAAGAACCGGATGTCTCGCTACAACCCGCTGAAGGCTAAGTCGGAAGACTAGCGTGGATTTCTTTCTCACCCGGAAGACTGAGTATGACTCTTCCGGATTTTTCAGCTAAGAACCGGATGCCTCAAGGAAGACCAGAATTCTCAAAAAGCGGACAAGTGAGAAAAGACTTAGAAAATTATCTAAGTCTTGAATGAAGAAATTCTACCCGTTGGTAAGGAAAAATCAATCTCTTGATTTTCAACGGCTAGATTAAAGATAATTATGCTGATTCAAGAACAAATGAGTCGAAGACAAAGTCTGGACCTCTAAAAATTGAAGAGCCTGTCCAGAATTCCTAAACAAGCACTAGAAGACAAACAGAGTAAAGTGCTACAGTCCAGAATTCTTGAACAACAGCTAGAAGACGGATTCTGTGGAAAAAGGAATCCCTCCTTAAACAATTGGGTATGTCTAACCACCCATTCCAATGAGGAATCTTCAAATCACAATCTTCATTCAAAATTGAAGCCAGCAAATGCAACAGATAGTCTATTTTGATTCAACGGATAGATTATCCAATCCAGCTATAAATAGCATCCTTGGAAGACTGGGGAAGATAACAACAACAACAACGATAAGAAGAACAACCACAACAAAGCTACCTCATTCATAGTTATCCCAAAAAGCTTGATAAAGAGAGATTTCTAAACTCCTTATCCAGAAGCAAACTTCTTCTCCTTCCCAAGAGCTATAGTGTAAATACTTGAAGGTTTCCTTGCCTCAAGTACCACACCACGTTGAAGGATACAACTTTTGATCAAACTTATTGATTCAAAGGGGGTAGGTCAACTTTCTTACAAGTTGGTCTTGCAAGTCCTATTGTTCGGACCTTGCAGTTGTTGAAGAAGCGTGACCTTCGAAGGAACAACAAAGCCAGCACGAGTGCAGTAGCAACATTGGCCTTGCGGAGATATACCGTGCAGAAATTCACACAAGTGTAATTGTTGGTTCATTTTTCAACAACCAACTACATAGTGGATTTTGAGGACGTAGAAGGATTACCCCACCTTCGAACCTCGTTAAAGTTTGCGTGTCTCTCTCTTTTATCTTTATTCTTACTTGCAATTATATTAACTGTGAAAACTAACCCATCCATATTGATTACTGCTTACTCTACCCACCAACTTCCGCACACAATCTAAAGTTCACAAGAACTCTAGATTAACACTCATTTTCACGTTTTCAAAAGAAACGAAAAAGTTTTAAATTTGTAACAAAGTCTATTCACCCCCCCCCCCTCTAGACTTTGTATCTCACCACTTTGGGACCACCAACTGTTTAGTTGCATGCGCGCACAGTGTATTTATTTGCTTCTGACATTATTTATTTTATTATATTTGATTCACGCCTTTTGAGGATTTGACTCTTTCACTTCCCCATAAAAGCAAACCTAACCACTGGACCGTCACACTGTTTCGTCCAAGTGTCACTGTGACCCCTTCCAATTCCAACCACTGCGACTGTTCACATGCCTTATCCCTTCGTTTCTGGGGCTATAAATTGACCTTTCTCTTTGTGTTGTGAATTCATCTCCCTTACACAAGTTGTTTGTCAATCTCTTAATGGCTTCCAACAACCCTAAGGACGTTGTTCCTTCTTCCTCCAAGCCCAAGGCCGTCCGGCATGCTCCTCTTTCCCCACTGGAGAACGCTGAATCGCGTACAAGTTCCTGGTGGTACCGTGCAAAGAGGTTGGAAAGGCGCATTGAGCGGCTGCAACGGCTCGTGAACTATCTTCATGGGTCCCCTCAGCGGGCTACGCCACCGGTCGAGGCCGTTCAACCGGCTGCTGATGTCATCCCCGTGGGTGACCATCACCTAGAAGAGTGTGTCGGCTCGTCTTAGGTTCCCCTTCCATGGCCCTTCCTGTATATCTGCCCATAGAGGTCTGTAAAATCAGGGAGGGCCACCACGCACGTCCTTCGGCACCTAGGTTTTGTTGGTTTTGAAATCCATGGGACCCTAGGACATGTGCCTACCTCCCAATAGACTTTAAGACTAACATGGAAAAAGGAGGTCCATTGGGAGGTGATGTACCTTAGGTCTTTTCCTTTCTCAGTGCCGCTGTGTAATAAATGTTGTCGGTGTTGCAACTATAGCGTCGTAGGGCGTGATATGTAATAAGTGTTGTAGCTTTCGAGATACCTTGTAATGAAATTTGACTTTGTATGCAATGAATGCCTTGTTTTTCGATTATAAATATGATGTGTTGCTTGCCTCTTTACTTGCCCTACTGTGATATGGCGTTAAGACCTGGAACTCCTTCTCTCGAGGAAGGAACGTCCTTCATTCGTGCCACCCCACCATATTGGTTTCTCATGGCGAGTTCCACTTTCCCCAGCTTTGCCACCGCTCCGACCGCGGTGGGGAAGTGCATTGACCCTGACTCTTCACTCCTAAGCAAAGAATCTGTTCAAGGTCTGCTCCGCCAAGAACTCACGATGACGGACACCTTGAAGAAATCCGGTCGTTTGGAATTGTTGGAATTAGATGTTGAATTGGGTATGGGTTCAATGATTGTTGGAATTGTTGATTTGGATGTTGAATTAGGTATGGGTTGAATTGGGGATGGATTTCCAGCCGGATTTCGGCGAGCCACGGCGGCGTACCTCCAGAAGCGACTGTGTACGGGCTGATTGGGTTTAATTTGGACCCAATTGGTCCAATTGGGTCAATTCGGGTCCAATTGGGTAATTCTTGTGCAATTGGGTTCCATTTGGGTCTGGTTTTATGCAAACGGGTTGGTCTCGGGTCCAATTGGTTCAATTAGGTAAATTTTGGGTTCCAATTGGGGTGCTTGGGTTGATTGGGCTATCCGGGTCGTTCATTGGGCTGCCCGGACTTACCGTTTGGGCCGATTGGGCGGTTTGGGTCGGTTGTCCAAAGGGGCAATGGGGCTCCCGGGCGGTGGGCAGCCGCTTGGAAGGTGTGGGTTGTTGATTTCTAGGCTGTCGGGTCGGTCCGGCGAGTTGTCAGGCTGATCCGGTGGTAATTGATACTGTTCCGGCGGGTGCAGCGGGCCTGAGGATAAGTCCTTAGTCCCGAGTTCGCGACACAAGTAAGTTATTTTAATATTGTTGGGTTTAATCTTGTTGTTTGAGCATGACGGTAATTGGTGAGAAGTGATTCTTCCGATAGGCCGCTGAGTATGTTGTTTTGTTTATGGAAATGTTTAAGTGATTGTTATCACTTGAGAATTCTGTTGAAAATTGGCCACCTAGTATACCTAGGCGGATCTGAACTGAATTGGATAGTTTAGTCACCAATAGGACTGTTGTTAGATTCGGGCCTTGTGGAGCATGTTTACATATCCAGTAGTCCAGGGTTCAAAACGTACGTACAGGAGTCACTAGTCTACCTAAAGGATTTCTTGGTAGGGATTCCAACCCGCCATTGAGAATTCTCTTTGAGTTTGTCCAAGCATCGACCTCGAGGGATCCGCTCGAGTGTCCGTAACTCTAGTCTGTTGAATTTAGCCTTAGTGTTGTAGGGACAGAAATAGCCCTTTGGAAATAAATGAATTGGAACTGTTGGATCCTTGTAACCAAAAATATATGTTGATTGTTCACTGATGTTGCTGATTATATAAATGCGATACTATTTGTGAAATTGATTCCAACGTTAGATATTTCTCACTCAGCTCATCGGTGAGTGTGTAGTTTGTCTCGTCTTTCTACACGTAGGTAATAACAAGCTGAACCTGGAGAGCACAGAGATGGAGGAGATGTACGGATGCAGGACTCAAACTGTTAACAGATATGGTGGTTGTAATGTAACTCGTTTTCTGATAATGATCTATTAAAGATGTTTATTTAAAACAACAATTTTGCTTCCGCGATGTTTTGTATTAACTCCGATAAATGTTTAAGTATTAGTTAAAATGTTGGATGATTAATTAAATGTTTTTTTTAATTTATTGGAAATATTGTGTGTGGATACCAATTTAGTAGCAATCCGGTTCGCTAACCTATTTATTCGGGTTACGCGGGTTGGGGTGTTACAATATATATATATATATAATTAAATGCTCTCAAGGCCAAAAAGACATCAAGTCCTTTTACAAAAAGTGTGAATTCCAAAACTAAACACATTTGATTTATATAGAGAAGATGTGTCCAAGTTTTTCGCCCAAAACCATCGCTCAAGGAGCTGATTTGTCGCTGCCAACACTCCCTCCTTGGAAAATCTTCCATGGGAATGAAGACAAGCATTATATGCCTTCCAAATATTCCAAGAAAGCAGCCCAGGAAGGATAAACCTAATATTGCCAAGAACACTCCTCTTATTTGATGAGAACCACCAACTAAGAAGAACTTGCTAAAATGTTAAAGGACCAGTTGCAACCGGAGCTCTAGCAGCAGTAGCATAAATCTTCTAGATTGCAGCAAACTCCCTGCAGGTAACAAGAATGTGATGATCTGTTACCTCACTCTCCAAACAGAAAGGGCATGCTGCATCCACCAGGATCTGTAGTCTTTGCAGATGATATGGAAATGGCAGCAACCTGTTCACTCCTCTCCACAGAAATAAGCTCACCTTGCCAATGTTCCTTGGATCCCAATGAGAGAAAACCTTTCCAAAAGAATATGCTCCATCAACCCATATAAACCTGCCATTGCTGGAAAAAACAGAGAGGAGTCATGGAAGAATTAACTCTGCACATGGACTTCCATGTGGCTGAATCATAAAGTTTGGGAACAAAGGAACCATCTCTGAGGTATTTCTGTTGCATATCGGATCTCCAAATGGTACCTCCCTGCTGAACCTTCCACCAAAGATCCATTGCTGCTGCCTTTTGGCAGTGATGTAGATTCCTCACCCCTAAGCCACCCTCCTTCAATGGAAAGCAAAGCTTCTCCCACTGTCTCCAGTGATATTTGAAACCCAGGTCTTTATCCTTAGCTCCCCAAAAGAAATTTGCCATCAATCTATGAAGACTCTTAATAAAAGACTTTGGTACCTCTTGAGCTGCCAAAATATGTAAAGGAAGGGATGACAGAACATGTTTTATCAAAATCAGCCTCCCCATCTGGTTAAGCTTCCTACTATACCAGGCCTCAATTTTCCTCTCAAACTTTTGGATCAACCCCTGGCAATGAGTCTTCTTCAACTTGCCTCTCACAATTGTAGATCCAAGATAAGTAAATTCCTTGGACCTGATCCCAAGAATGCTTTTGATATTAACCTTATGCTCCCTGCCCTCATCTTATCATGCACAATAACTTGGCTTTTGCTGAAGTTTATCTCCTGGCCAGAAGCTAAGTTGAAGGTGGAAAGAGCAGCTTTAAGCCTCAACAGATTCCTACAATCAGCCTTGGTGAAAAAGACTATCATCAGCATATAACAAATGACTAGGAGCCACTGTCCTTCCACATGAGAACTTGCCAAGCTGACCATTTTGAGTGAGATGATTAATGTACATGGAAAATCCTACCATTGCTATAATAAACAAGAGAGGAGACAAAGGATCCCCCTGCTTAACCCCACATTTCATGGAGAAAAAAACTTTGGGTTGGCCATTAATCAAAACAGAGAAAAAAGTTTACCTCAGATTTCCCATAAGAAGATGAACAACTCTCTGGCAGAAACCAAATTTAAGAAGTACTTGCTCCAAATAGGCCCAGGAGATTTTGTCAAAAGCTTTAGATAAGTTAACCATACAGTTCCCACCTCTAGCATTAAAAGACAGCAAATGCATCATCTCCTTAACCATACGCACATGCTCATTTATACCCTTCCCTGGTTGAAAAGCAGCGTGCTCTGGGGAGATCAATAATGGGAGAATGTTCTTAAGCCTATCACTCAGAATCCTAGAAGGGATTTTACTAAAAAAAGTGGATAGAGAAATAGGCCTAAACTGATCTAGGGTAATAGCACCCTCTTTTTTTGGTATAAGTGTGATCAAAGTGCTGCCAAAAACCCTAGGTAAGGGAATACCCAGAAAAAACTCTTGCACCGCTTTACAAACATCCACTTTAATCACATCCCAAACATGTCTGAAGAAAAAACCATTGTATCCATCTGCACCAGCTGCACTGTTAGCATTCAAAGCCCAGATAGTTCTTCTGATTTCCTCTTTTCTGGCAAAGCTCCAAGCATAAAATTGTCCTGAAGAGACAGTATGGAAGGGATATGATCAAGGACCTCCCCCATTTACCCCTCATGAACATGAGAGAAAACCCTAGAAAAATGATCAACAGCTTCCTTGGCAATCTCCTCCTGAGAAGAAGTCAAAGTCCCCGCAGCAGTCTTAATAGAGGAAATACAGAGCCTATGCCTTCTTCCCCTAACAAAAGAGTGGAAAAATGCAGTTGAGGCATCCCCTTGAGAAATCCACTTAATATTAGCCTTCTGAGACCAAAAGGACTCCTCTTTCTTATGAGCAAGTTGCAGAAGAGCCCTAGCCATATTACATTCAACAACATTCTCCACAATCTCATCATTTTCCAGATTTTGCTCAGCCCTTAGCACCCTCTCTTCTGCCTTCGAAACCTCCTCAAAAATATTCCCAAAAACATCCTTATTCCATTGAAGGAGAGCTCTCTTAGGATCAGCAAGTTTAAAGGCCAAGCCTCTCATACCATCTCCTTGATATCCTTGTCCCCAGGAGGAGGTAACAATGTCCATAAAAGAATTATGAGAGCACCAGACATTAAGAAACCGAAAGGGTTTAGGACCCACAACTGGATGAGAGCAAAATTTAAAAAGGAGAGGCCTGTGATCAGACATACCACGCCCAAGATGACTAACCTCGAGGACTGGAAAGACATTCAAGCTGTAACGCCCTCAAAACCGGCTTAGTAGTTAGCCTTTATTTTAATAAAAATGAACATATTATTTATTAACTTCAAAATATGAATTATTGGTAAGTTGACCATTTTAACTAAAAGTTAGGTTTTCGGGTAAATCTCGTAAAATGGTGACTAACGGTGTATAATTTGTTAAATTTGGACATATATGTAAAGCGTGGTGAGTAAAATAGATAATACATTTTAATAATAAGTTTAAAAAAATGTTGTAATATGATATTAGAATAAATATTAGTAATAAAGAATTGACGTCCGATCGTTTTCCAAACCTGAAGAAAAAGAGGGCCACTTGAAGGTATTTAATGTACGGAGTCCATCCAATCTCCATCCCCATCTATCTTCTTCGTTTCGCACGCAACCAGGGTCAATCGCTGGAAAGCTTCGCTAGGCATCGTCAAGAAAGCTTCGCCGGAAATCTTCACCGGAAAGTTATATCTTCGTCAATCGAGGTGAGTGGTGGTATCTCTGGTTAAAATTGATTCGTAGATTAGGATTTGTTGATATATTTTCGTTCAATTGACGTTGAATTTGTGATTATGGTTATCGGATTGTGTGATTAATTGTGTTTGGATTCGAAATTAGCATTGGTTTTTGGGAAATTGGGATTGGATTGTTCCTCCTCTCGTTTTTCTGTTCGGTCTCTGTTCTGTTCTTTCTGTGTTTCGCCTAAATCTGTTGTGTACAACGATTCTTTGGCCTCGTGCTAGTACGCTGGCCCATTCGTCTTTGCATTCTGTTGCCGTGGAGTTTTGCTGTCAGCCGCCGCCACCTGCTACCGCCATTAGACGCAGAGGGGTGCCGCTGCCGTTGTTGCAGTGTCGCAGTTCGGCGGCGGAGATGCTGCTGTCCACCGTACTCGGGCGATGACACACACGGACTGAAAAATTCTGCTGGGCCGCTGGACCTTGTCGCCGCCGCTGTGTTCAGGTCATCTAGTTGCTGCCTGGCCGCCGTGAGGAAACTGTGAAGTTGCTGGGACGCCGATTGATGCCGCCGGATTGCTGCTCTGTTCCGTCGCTGGAGCAGTGCAGACCTGTTCTTGTTCTTCTGCTTACGAACAAAATAAAGGAACAAAAATATAGTTTTGTTATTTGCAAGTTGGCCCAAGTCTTTAAATTGTTTTCAATTTGGCCTTCTTCATACTTTGACCTTAAAATTTAAACATTGAACATCAACTTAAGTCTATGAACAAATGTAATACGTGAAGAAACTCAGGTTTGCTTAATATGGTGATGGGTTTATCGAGAGTAACTAGAGAATAAGGTCATGCGGGTGACGTCATTCATCCGGTGGTCTCGAGGGTTAAAAACGTGCGCACGGTGGTCATTGACCCCTGGCGAGAGCCAGTGGGGGTCTCAACCCCCTCCATTGCGAGAGCTTTGGAGTTATGGGTGTGGGTTTGGGTGAGAACCTGGATTCCATTACTCCCGTAAGTATGAATTAGATTATATTAGCAGGCAGATAGAATAAGTATGCATAAGAATTAAACTAAATTAAAAGGGTAATTAGTGGTACTGTTGGATAACGATATTTGCTAATTCTTCTGATATTGTTTGATTATATATTAGTGGGTGCTAGTCTATGAGTTGATTTTAGCGTTAGATAGTTCCACTCTCCCTATTTTTACAGGTAGGGATCAAGGATTAGACGAGGAGCAGCCTGGAGGACAGTGAGGCGTGATGCTGGTGGATGACGAGAGCTGTTTTATTTAAATTTAATATAGTTGTTGAATGTGTTTACTTAAATTACTTGAACGTTGAATGTTGATTTTTTAAGGCTTCCGCAACGTTTGAATTATTTACTTCGATTATTTGTGAATTGTTTTTTTTAAATAAATGTGAATTGATGTTTTATTATTAAATGTTTTAAAATATTGTGCATGTGAATACCAAATTCGTAACAACCCGATTCGCTAGCTCGTTGGTTCGGGTTACGCGGATTGGCGTGTTACACAAGCATTCCTCATTTAGAAGGATTCTGTCAAGCCTTCTATACACTCTCCCCCTCCTCCGTTTACCAGCCCAAGTAAACTGGCTGCCCAAGAAGGGAGGAGACATCAATTCACAATCAAAAATACTTTGAGCAAAATCTCCAATACTTCCAATATCTGGACATACCTCTCCCTTATGCTCCGTAAGAGAAGCAACCGTATTAAAATCACCCCCAACAATCCAAGGGTCAGACCCAGGAAAAAGAGATCTAAGAGAAGCCCAAAGCTCCTCTCTATCTTTCTTACAATGAAGTCAATAAACATTGGATATCCACAAAAGGGAAGGGGAATCAGCATTATGAAAACCAAATGTAATGATTTGAGTCTCCTTAATAACACTGTGAAGAGATAAACATTCATCCTTCTAGAAAAACCAAAGCTTGTTATGAAAATCATGAAAAGCCTTGGGGAATCCCAACTTGAATTTAAACCACTCCAGCTTGTCTGTCTCCACCAACGGCTCCAAAATAGATAAAAACTTTAAATTATAAGTCTTGATAAGATAAATGAGACGAGAGAGGGAAGAATTTTTTAGAAGAAGAGACCTTATCCAGACAAGGGCTCTGAGAACCTGCGCCTTAGATATTTTAGAAGAAGAGACCTTATCCGGACAAGGGCTCTGAGAACCTTCAGGCGAGGACAAGGCTCGATAAACCTCATCAATGGAGCTACCATCTGCAAAGTAACCTACCTCAGTAGCAACATCCTCAGGGAGTGCAAGAGACTCCACAAAAGGAACAATAGCCAAGCTATCATCACTAACTTCCACGGGGGGGTCAACAACTACCAATGATGAAGGAGACAAACTCCCATGCAAATGAGCCATATTGAAAGCAGCCAAAAGGTTGGAGTCAATAACAAAAGTCCCATCATGGGGAGGTCCCTCACTCTGCTGATCTCCCTTTCTGGAGGTTTCCCCAAGGCCCTCACACCACGGAACCATTTGCATGGAAAGATGACGGTCCTTCACTTTCCAGACCCTAGCAGGCTTTTTGTCCTTACCCTTCTTTCGAGAAACCACCTGCCATGCATTAGTTTTCATCATTTGAGGCTTAGGGTTTTGCTCCACCTTCTGGGTATGATCCAAAGGGCACAAGCCCTTTTGATGGCCAATCTGCCGACACACCATGCATTAGGAAGGCACATTTTCATAATAAAAATTAACAATCCGCTCCTCCTCCTCATCATGCTAGACGTGAATTTTCCTAGGAGGAAGGTTTGTGATATCAACCTCCACAAAGCATCGCGCAAGCTTAGACCTAGAAAAGTTTAACGTACAAGAATCAACTTGTAGAGGGTGACCAATATATATATATATATATATATATATATATATATATATATATATATATATATATATATATATATATATATATATATATATATATATATATATATATATATATATATATAGAGTTTGGTTCCGGTGAGAAAGAGATCTAATGAAAGAAATAAGAGTACTTATAAACCGTCCGATCTGATGAGTTTTCAATCTTATCGCCAGGGCATAGAAGTCTTTACGGCACTTCCTTCAAACGCAAACCATCGCGAGGCATTCTCATCCCTGATTTCTCGCGCACGATCTGATTCACTTTCCCCATTTTCTCTCTAACCTT